TGGCCGCGCAGGATGGCCGAGGCGGTGAGCATCACCTCGAGCCGCTGGCGCAGCGGCAGTGCGCCGGAGCCCAGGAGCTGCGCGGGGGGCAATTGGGGCGATTTGTGTTGATTGGGGGTGGGTGGGCAGGGTCGGGGTCGGTTGGTGGCGGTCGGGTGACATGGGGTTTGAGTCGATTAGGATGTGGAAGCACGGAGATGCAGGGCCGGCCTGACGTTTGAGGAGGGGATCGTGCTGCGAGGAGGGCAGTCTGTTGGCTGCAGAGCGGGGAGCGGAGTGCCCTCAGAACGGCGGGCGAGGTGTGAATGCAGGCTCGACGTCGCTGGCTTTGGCGCGCTGCCAATGACCGCCCCCCCCCTCCCCTTTTGACTGCCGGCTCTGCAGGCTCACAGGTGGTTCGGACCGCAGCAGCTGGGCCCCCAACCCCAAAATCCCTATACCCGGACCCGAAACGCTGGACCATGCACCCCCCATGCGGCGCCCCATCGGGCGACGCCCACCTCCTGCAGTACGGCCATCAGGTCGTTGAAGTAGTCGACGCTGATGAGGTGGCTGTACCGCCCCAGCCCCGCCAGTACGGGCGCCAGCAGCGGGAACTTCCCGGCCACCTTGGACGCGGCCCATGGCTGGTCCAGGGCGCCGCGGGCGCCGGCCGCCTCCTCTTGCTGCTGCTGCTGCTGCTGCTGCTGCTGCTGCTGCTGCTGCTGCTGGGAGTGCACCGTGTTGGCGCAGTGTTTCAGGACGCGGAAGAACGTCTCAAAGAGGGCCTGCGGGGCAGAGAGAGGCGGGGGGCGCCAGGCGGCGGCAGGAGGGGTAGCGGGGCGGTTTGAGCTGGCGCCGAGGGGCGCGGGCGGCGGGGCGGCGCTGGTGGCCGCCCGCTCGACTGCTGCGTTCCTCAACGTGCCCGCGGGCGCGTCGCCCCGGACTCGCTCGTTTCGCGCACTGCTACGCCCATGCACTCCCTTTCCGGGGCCGCGTCCACCCTTGCACCCCCCTTTTCTGGGTTTGGCACGCAGGCACACACACCTGCTGCATGGGGCCTGAACCGCTTGGCGCCCCTTCCCAACCCACTCCAACCGACCCACCCCTGGCCCACAGCTCAACCCCCAACTCCTGCCCCTCTCACCCCACCCCAATTCACCCGCAC